ACGTGATTAAGAAGAAGAAAAAAAAATGTCTCTGCCTGTGTGAACTCCCGTGTGAAGAACTTGGAGGCAGATATTTAAGAGATTTGTAAAGTGTATCCTGTCTGCACAGTGACTGGACAATTGACCTCCATTTCCTGCAGCCGCGATTGCCCCCTCATGTTTTTGCTTTAGTACTTTGCCAGAAACTCAAACGAGTGTAGTTTATATGCATGGCACCTTTACATTTTTAAGGAGCAGAAAGAAAATAGGTAATGTTATTAAAAGCTATATTTGTCAGTTCATATGTCAGTTACATTTTCAATTTAAGTTTTCAGTGTCTGTTTCTTTAGCTGTGGCGTTTCCTTGCATCTTGATACACAGTCAACAATAAATACAAAGTCAGTGCTGGAGCCTGGCTTTGAAGGAATCAGAGCAATTTCTCTCAAAATTCTTGTCTTTCCACCTCAATTCTTTTCTTCGACTTGTAATGAAATGAAGAGCATCACTTGTGTCAGTAGGGAGTGAGGCTGTTTAAAAATAAATAAATAACGTGTGCATGTGCACACGCATGCACACACACACACAGACACACACACACTTCTCAACAGGGGGTCTGGGAGCCTGAGGTGTCTGAATCTGTCTTCCATGCTCGTTTCTTGTTTCTGGTGAGGAGCCATTTTTCTTGTTTTTTCCTTTGCGGCCCCACCTGGACTCCACTTGCTGCCACAAAGTCTGGCAGATATCACACACTTATTTAAGATTTGGGGGTGTGATCTGATAGCGACTGATCGAAAGTTGAAGCAACAATTAGCAGTTGGTCAAGACCAGTCTTCTCTCCTGGTGCTGACCACAGAGTGAGTGTTTCATCTTTGACAGAAAATTCTCTCTCCACTGATACCCCAAGCTCTTGGATCTCTAGTAAGAAGGTTCAGTGTTTGGGGGCCTCCACGTTTAAATCGCTCTGGGCCATCTTAACCTTTGCTTTCACGTTTTGAGTGCTTGAGTGTTTCCGCAACAGAGCATGGAGCTTTGAAGTACCCCATGTGGCGTTTGCTTGTGAAGAATTTCTCATTCCGCTTTTACCACAATTTCTTTATGATTCAGAGTTGAAGTATGCTGGTTCTCTCCCATGCAAGAAAGCAAATGCAGGAAACAAGCAAGAGCTCTTCTTTTCCTGGTGGAGCACTGGTGTGAAACGCCGAGCTTTGAGACTGATGATAAGCAGCCATGCACAATGTGGCTAGGGCAGCTGGGCCTGTCTTCCCGGAAGGCCGAGTCCTGCAGAGAAGCTTGGAGGGTGCAAGGCGTCAAGGATCTTGTTAAAGGAGGCTTGCAGGAGTTGGCCTCACTGCTTTTCTCTGTGTAGGTGGTATTAGCATTCCCAAAGCACATTTACTTACACTCACTTGCTTCCTCAGCTAGGAATATGTCACCTGGGTGCGGAGTCTTAAGAGATGAGCAGCTGGCTTTCAGATCACATGGATGGTGAAACAGCAAAGCTGTGCTTTCTGACTCCAAATCCGGTGCTCTTTGCCCTACCCTATGATTGCTTATTATTAGATCCACTGACTTGGAACACGTTTGTGTTTCAACTCCCAATCAGATTGCGCGAGTGTGAATTTCTTAATAACACTGATATGTTTTATGACAGGGCTTTGCACATGGTATACACTAAATGAGTACTTTTGATTAATGAATTATCTGGTTTTCCTCCTCCTCCCTTTATGTGATGTGGCGTTTAATCATATCATAGATGTTTACAGACATCACAAGGACTTATGTTGGATATTGTGAATGCAGGTGATTGCTATAGACTAGATGTTTCTGTCCCCCCACCCCCAGCACTGGAGAAGGCAATGGCACCCCACTCTAGTGTTCTTGCCTGGAAAATTCCATGGACGGGGGAGCCTGGTGGGCTGCCATCTATGGGGTCGCACAGAGTCGGACACGACTGAAGCAACTTAGTGGCAGCAGCCCCCCAGCATTTATCCATCGAAGCTTTAACCACCCCCCACCCAGTGTAGCTGTATTTGGAGATGGGGCCTCTAAGGAAGTAATTAAGTTCGATGAGTTCATAAGAGAAGAACCCTAGTCTGACAGGATTAGCGCTCTTAAGTCCCTTGAAGAGATAGCACAGAACTCTCTCTCTCTCTCTCTCTGCTATCTGCATGTACTGAGGAAAGGCCACGTGAGGACAAAGCAGGAAGGCAACAGCCTCTAAGTCAGGAAGAGAGCTCTCACCAGAAACTGAATTGACTAGCACCTTGTTCTTGGACTTCTCAGTCTCCAGAACTGTGAGAAAATACTTCTCAGTTGTTTAAGCCATCCAGTCTATGATATTTCCTTATGGCAGCCCAAGCAGACTAATATAGTTATTAAAACCAAACCTTGCTCAAGCATTTCATTACCCTGCAGAGTAGAGAGAAAATAGCCATAGTCACACAGGTGGGTTGGGTACATGTTCATGTGCTCGGTCCCTTCGGGGATGAAACTCAAGGTTATCATCATAGCACTGGGGTTCAAACAGCCTCAAAGTCAGAATGGTTCCAAACATCCTGTAGTTTTTAGAACTTCATGTAGCAGTATTTGAGTGTGCGTGGTTAGGGGTGAAAGTGAGAAAGAAGGCAAAAAGACTTCAAAGAGATGATGCGAATCTGTGTCATGAAGAGTGACTAGTGTTTTTTCCAGGGAATAAGGCAGAAGAAAGTGCTCTGTTTTCTTCAGAGGAAATGGAAGTATAAATGAACATGGTGGAATCCTGGATTCTGAGACTTTAATTAGTTCATTAGGGCTGGAGCTTAGGATGGACATGGAGGAGTTTGAAAGATGAGGTTGGGAAGATAAGAAAGAGCTAGTTCCTTAAAAAATGTTCATACGTTCAGCTTAGAAATTGGACTTTAATCTGTAAGTAGTGTGGGTGATGGAAAAGAATTTAAACCTGTGTAGTTACAGAATCAGATTTGTAGTTCAGAAATCTACTTTGTATGTACTGTGGAGATTGAACTGGAACCTAATCTTGGGGTTAGGGCTTGGGATGGGATTTTAGGGAGTGATGCTGGCTCATAAATTCTCTATGAAAGATTTCACAAAAAATCAGGAAGCTGCCTTTGATATTACCTCCTTAACTAAAAGACACAGTTCAAATTTTCAACCATTTTAGAATTCAAGTAAGCCTTTTTGCTTTTAATTATGGCACTGGAATAGCTTTTTTTTTTTTTTTTTCTGGAAGAAGAAGAGACTTTCGTTCATGTGAATGCCACACATCATGAGTGACACCCATGGCTCTGGTCCTCCTCAAAACCAGAGTGGCTCCGAAATGAGCAAACCAGGGGCCTGGTGTGAAATTGAGCGTCCTCTACTTCTTCTTCTGAACACTCTCTGGTTTCATTTTTAGGAGGTACCCCGTTTTGCTGTGCTGTTCACTGGAGCAACTTGAATTTTCTTAATTTGATGTTTCAGAGAGCAGTTAGAGAGCAAGTAAACATATTCACTAAGCAATTCCCAATTCAAGCCCTGAGCCCAGAATTCATAAAAGACATAATCTCACCTTCACCTGGTCAGGGCGACTTAGCCTGCAGTTAGTTGAAATACAGGAAAAAGTTCACGCTTTTGTGGTATGAATTGGAAGTTTGTGTGTGTGCCTGGCTTATGTGTTTATAGCAACTGTAAAATCTCTCCTCTTTGACTCTCTGAAGAGTAACTCACGCGTGGAGAAAGGTGGACAGTTCGTCCCGTGGCCACTGTACCTTCCTCTCAGTGTTCTGTTCATTCTTTCCTCTTCAAACGAAGTGTCAGTCCACTGGAGAGGGACTGTTCTCACTTTTATGTGTCACCCAGAATCCTACAAACCGACGTTACCTGTTGGTGCTAATGATGGTGGTGACTGGGTGTTGTGACACCTGCAAACGCCTTTCTTCCTGGGCGCTTATTGTCAATCTGGGAATTTTGTCACCCCAGTTACCCCAGAATGTTTCCTTATGACTACATTCTTACTAGCTCTAAGTAACTCTTTTACTCAACGGGAACAAGGGCCAGATGGCATGCAGACATGTGCTTGAGACTGGGTGAGTCTTATTTGTTCTCTATTTCTTGTTACTTACTGTCACTCCTCAGCTAACCACACATAAGGAACCCACCCTGTGGGCTGTGTTGTTTTTTTTTTTTTCTTTTTGCTGTGCATATCTGAAACATGATTATAGTAATGTGCTTTTTATTAACATTATTGCCATTATGGGTTTCTTTTTGTTGTTGTTGTTTCAATCCACCTCATTTTTTGAGGGGGAAGGTGAGATATAAATAAATTCAACAATGTCAGCAGGTCAGCCAGAACACAGATGTGTAAATACAATGAATTTCATCCCCTTCTAATTAAAAAAACCTTGAACTTGTTCCAATAACACTGTTATAGCTCAAAAATAATTTTATTTGGAAAATTCTCTTTTGAAAAATGTCTTCAGAGCTTTTGCCTATCAATCACAGCAAATCATTGTGCTCTGAGGGTGGGTTTGATCTTTTTTTTTTTTAATTATTGAACAAGTAATTATTAGGTGCTTACTAAGTGGCAGGCAGTATACCAGGTACAAGGAGCAAGACAGACATGGTTTCTGCCTTCAGAGACATTTACGATCAAATCTGAGATGAATGTCTGAGCCCTGGAAAATACCTTTACTGATAAGAACAAGATGTGACTGTACAATGACAATCTTAACTGCCGCAAATGACAATTTTAAAGAAGAGATTTAAAACATTTTGAGTAATGGCAGCATCTATGGAATAACTCAGACACACTACATAGAAGACAACCATTGATTTTTTTTTAATGCATCCAGTATAGTTCTATATAGTTTATAAAACACTTGTATATATTATGTTATTTTCTTCTTGCAGGAATTTCAAATTATCAATCAGGTTTGAGTACCAGTTTCCTCCACTGGAAAATGAATGATCTCTAGGTGTCTTCCAGGCTAAAAATTCTGTAATTCTTATGCCTCTGATCCATGCATTTATACTGTGTCCATCACTTAGAACAGTTCCTTGTGATCTCTCTTGCTGAGGACCTTCAAGCAGAGATGGGAGTCTAGTGTCTTCTCCTGGGGTGGTGAGTGGTGGCAGGAGGCCTGGTGCTCACCAGGCTGGTCATCTAGAAGCCTGGCAAGGGACGGATTGAGCTCATCTCTCAGCCACGGCGTGAGGAGCAGAGGGAAGCTGAAGTTGAAGTACCAAGTGAGAAAACTTCCCTTGCAGTGAAGAAAATCTGAAATAACAGGTTTGGGGGATCAGGTAGAAGGAGAAATAAGACTCAAAGATTGAAAAAAAAAATTGGCTAGATAAAGAAGTTGAAGAAGTAGAACTTAGAAAGCTATCTGAAGAAACAAGATTTATTCTTCTGGGTTCTAGAGTAATAGCCTAAGAACCATTCGAATGATAAACCAAACCAAAACAAAACAAAACAAAAAAAGGAAAAAAAAATTTAAGTTGACTTTTTCCTTAACAGAAAATAAAGTGAAAATGTCACTCTGTTCTACAATGGTACCTTATCGAATTTCCCAACCAGAAGCCCATTCCTCTTAGAAAAATGCAGAGTGTTCATCAAAGAGAACATCTTGATGATTTCCAGATAGAACAAGTATTTAGAGATTGAAATGGAAATTTGTCTTGACAGCTCATTCTCAGCATTTTGGACCTTCTTTGTCCACATCGAAAATAAGATGCCAGTCAAAGTACTAAGTAGATATAAGAATCTCTTCTTATGAAAAAAAAATATACACAGAGTAAAAAATACAGAAGAAGTTTTATTTTAAGACTTTGCTGCTGGGGACTTCCCTGGTGGTTCAGTGGTTAAGAATCGGCCTGCCAATGTAGGGGACACCAGTTGGATCCCTGATCTGGGAAGATCCCATGTGCCTCAGAGTAACTGAACCTGTGAGCTGCAACTACTGAAGCCCAGGTTCTAGAACCCATGCTCCACAACAAGAAAAGCTACCTCTGCAAAACCCTCACACACCGCAGCTAGAGAGTAGCCTCTGCTCGCTGCAACTAGAGAAAGCCCGGGCACAGCAACAAAGACCCAGCGCAGCCAAAAATAAATAATTACTTTTGGTTATAATTCTACTAAAAATCTTCTCATAAAAATACTTTGCTGCTCATCCCAGAAAAGTAAGTGGAGTATTTGAAATGTCATAGCCATAATAAGAGATAAAAGAAGCCCCTGGTGGCTTTGGCCACACACACACACAGACACATAGACAACACACATACACACTATGGATTTAGGGGAAATTATGACAGCATCTCCAGGAGCAGTGGGTATGACAGGGCCTCTTTGCTGAAACTTTTCCTTTGGGCCCAGCATTCCGGCTCATTTTCACTGCCACGTTCAGAGTTCATAGCTGTGTTCTCCCAGCACAGCTTACCCATGAGCACAACAAATTGTTCCAGGTGGGAAGAAGATATAGCGGATAAAAGTAAGCAGAAATCATGGGTGTAAAAAGCTGCTGGTAATCTGTTTCTAGTTTTCTACTTATGTTTTTGTGACATTTACACCTCTAGACATATTTAGTAGCCGCATTTCAGACTCGTCTGCAGTTTGATTTTGCTTGCTGTCCTGCTTGCTTTTCAACCCTTTTCTGGAAGTTTCCTAAGTATCTAGGTGTTTTGCTAGTCAGCCATCTTCCAGAATTTCAGCCCCAAGAAGTCTGGTCACAGTCCTTTTTGTTTTGCTGTTGCTGTTTTCTCTCCCTCAACAAATTTGTAACAGTAGGTCACACTTTTATCGTGAAACTTTATTTTCCAACTGCTCTCCATTTTGGCTCTGTTATTAGGCTATGCTTCTGGTATTCTGATCCCGCTTCATTTCTAGGATGCTTGTTGATGAACCTAGGTGGAAAGGAGGGCACAGTCCTTGGCTGGGCTCCACGGGCTGTTTTGGGAAAAAGCGTCTGGTCTCCTGGAGGTGGGACATCCACAGGATGGACCCCTGTTCATTTCCTACAGACAATGGAGCCTCTGCATCACATTTAATGCAACCGCCGGTACAGTATGATATACTTGCTCAACCACCCAAATATATTGACTTTCTGTTAAAAGGCTTTTAACATAAATTTTAGGAGATTAACAAAACACATCACAGACTGTTGCTGAGAAGGCAGGCTTTTTAACTCCGTTTCTCCTCCATTGATTTTAGTTAATATATTTCCACCACCCCCTTATTTTACTGTACCTTTTAATTTGTTATTCATTTGTTTGAAACCAGAACTCTGCTGAGGCGCTCTCGACCCACAGGAACTGAAATAGTTTGCCTTCATTATCGGGTAGACCTGCTCGAGTCTGTAGCCCCTGACAGAAACCACAAGACTGTACAAACTGGCAACTGTGGGTTTGTCTGTTCTCTATTGATTCTATTTCTGGAAAAAAACACGAACCAATGGGTGAGCCATGTGACTGTACAACTGACCCAAGGCTCCCATCAGAAGGGGGATGGAGACCTTTCTCAGACTGGTCGTAATGGGACCTCAACACTTCAGTTTGCTTCTTAACCATGGCCTTTGATAGCTCTGACTTAGAAGTTTAACTCCTTGTATTCTGGAATACAAAACTGCTGTAGAATCTTAAGATTCTAGAGAAGGTTATTCAAATTTGGTCATTTTGTCCCAAATATTTAATACAAACATGATATAACTTTGCTTATAAAGTGTCTTTGTTCTTTCTTCTCATGTGAGAATTACAAGACAATTTCACACAAACACTACAAAAGAAAATGATACATGCGTACCTTTTAAACTATGAAACTGCAACTGCTGTAGTGTTTATTTTTCTTGAGCTTTGGTATTGGCGCTAAATACCAATATTCAAGTAAATAGAATGCATGACTCCTATGTGGTATGGCCTAATGAGATAGTTCTGGCCTTGGTGTAAACAAGCTGTGTGTCCTTATCGTCTCGTTCCTTCTCCGATTACATGTGAGATGATCAGATGATGTCTTAAGATCTATTCTAGCTCTAAGATTCAGAGTGAGTAATAGCTCTTGATAACACCAGAGAGATCCAGGTAGGGAGAACACATCCTATTAAACACACACACACACACTCAACAGAAAAACCAAAATAGCTCCCCACGCCTCCTCCCCCAACAATGACAATGCAGCCATCTGTTGGACGTTCCATTTCACTTAGCAGCTGCTCTCAGATACAGAAATCTGCATTCCTCCCGCTCTCGTGCTGGTATGCATGCAGCATGTGTGGGTACTAGCATTTGACTCTCCCACCCAAAGGAATGGCTTTCATTGAATAAAAATGATCACAGAAGGTTTCCGTACTCTCCCATCACATAAAATGCTGTTTTCTTGATAATAAGCGTTTGGAACTATCTCTGCTCCCCTGTGTATTAAAATAAACCCTCTTAAAGATATGCACATCAAACAATCATCTGAAAATTGAAGAGGACAACCAGGAAAAGGCTTCCAGGAAACTCCTGTTTTGTTAGAGACTTCCACTTTGCAGGAGCGTGGGAGAGGTTGGAATGCAAAGTTCCATTTTATTTCTGTTTTGTCAATACCCCCAACATGGCACTTAAGCTCTGAGAAATAAATATTGTACAAAAAAGAACCAGGAGGCTTTTAAAAGCAGCAATAGTCTCACCCTCAAACTAAATAAAAAAAAAAAAAAATAGGGTGAATCTCCAAAGGGGATAGAAAATGAAATCCTTTAAATCCTTTCACCCCACCCCCTTGCCTCTTCTCCAGGCTGAATTTTGTCCTCTACGTGGTAGACTTGTATAAAGTGGTCTATCATTTAAAAAGAGGCACTTGGGTTGGGGGTTGGGAGGAGCCGCAGTTACAAACAACAACAAAAAGGGTCCTACAAGCCATGCAGACAGAGAACCTTGGGTAAAATTGGATCTGCTTTTGAGTACATAATTTAGGACATTTGTTCCAAGATTACTGTGGTTTTCTATAAATGTTAGTTTGCCGTATTATTTTCCATGAACTACTTTTCCAAAATGCAGAATATTTTGCCCCCCAAATGTGGAAGCACCAAAGCTCAGATGAGGCACTGATTCATGGGTAGTCACCCAGAAACAGCTGGTCAGCCATCTGCAGCCCCAGAGTCCTCTTATTTTTACTTTGTTCAGCTACTTCTTTTTGTAGAGGGGAGGAAGACGCGTCGGTCCTGGGGGAAGTGTGTGGCTCGTGTGAGAAAACGGTGACTAGCTCCTGCCTGAGACCGGGGTCCGGTGGTCTGACGTGCTGATTGGAGGGCAGCACGTTTCCTACGTGCATTAATTAGGCTCTCAGATCTTGACTGCATGTGCATTATTTTCTGTGCATCCTGTTCTTTGGGAAAAGGAAAGACATGATGATGTGCCATTGATTGTTCTGTGGGAACTGTTCCAGGTTAGAGCACCCCAGAGAGCCATAACCAGTCTTTTCAAGGCAGGCAGAAGAGCCTGCAGAACCCAGGACTGGTCTGGAAGTCAGACCTGAGAGTCTGCTGCTTGCTCCCTCAAGGGCCCCCTGAATGAGGCCTTCGAACTGCCCTAGAGTCTGTGGTCAAAAAATGTTGGGGATAAAAGCACTGGTTGACACCATTTAAAAGAAAAACCAGGGCTCAGTGCCATAGCCATATGAAACCAAAACGCTGAGTAAATGTTTAGGTGCTGCTGTTTTATTTTACACTTTGACATTACTCTCATAAAGCTGTGGCTGATTCAAGCAGAATAGGCTTTTGCCTTCCAGAGTGGGTGAGGGGGCCTTGTTGACAGGAGGGATACATTATCCCTCCCTTGTGATACCTAAGGCAGTTCATTCAGATGACGGAGCCAGATGACTGTATAGGAAGGAAAATGCTCTTCCGGTTCTAGAAAGGAGGTTTTTTGGTGCACAGGTGTATGCTGCTTACAGGTAGGCGTAATTATAGTTTAATCAGATTCTTCAGTGTCTCTGGAGACCACTTTTGGCACACCATTTAATATTTTCCTCGAATCATCAAAATCTTTTACCCATTCCCCCCAAAACATGGGTATATGTATGTGTACACACACATACACAATGCATATGTATGTGTATCTTCCTTGTTTGATTGAATTTTTTAATTGAAGTCTGGTTAGTTTACAGCATTGTGTGAGTTTCACGTGTACAACAAAGGGATTCAGTTATACATATATATCTATTTTTTTCAGATTCTTTCCCCATATTGAGTATAGCTTCTTGTGCTGTGCAGTAGGTCCTTATCAGCTATCTATTTTATATATAGTAGC